GAAGAGGAGCGTAGAACCGATCGCGATTGGCCAAGAACAACCTCCCGTAAAAGGGTTTGTCTGCTGTCCCAGTTTTCACAGCCGCGTTTATACACTCTCGCCTGCCTTCCCTTCGTATGCAAATTCACACTGTTTCGTAATAGCGCTTCTTGTCCTTCTGTTCTCCTGTTGGAGGACACGCTTGAATATCGTTTCAGCTTGAAAAGATGAGCAAGTATGTGTAATACATAGGCTGGTGCTTGTAAAAGTGCGATGTAATTCGAATGAATTCAACTCGTTTCGATTCCGTTCCATTCAAGTCGATGAAATTCCAATTCCGTTTATCAGATTCGATTCCTTGCCGATGTTTCGCGTGGTATAATCAATTTTATTTTTAGGATAGTGCCTTAGATGGAAGTTTGAAAAATTATTTTTTGAGGACTGTTTAGGTTTGCTGTTTGATAATTTTCTCAATATTTTCTAGGTTTGCTATTTGATAAATTTCTCGATACTTTTTAGCTTTCCTATTCGATAAATTTCTTAATACTTTTTAGCTTTGCTATTCGATAAATTTCTTGATACTTTTTAAGTTTGCATTTCGACAAAGTTTTCAATACTTTTTAGATTTGCTATTCGATTAATTTCTCAGTACTTTTTAGGTTTGCTATTCGATAAATTTCTTGATACTTTTTAAGTTTGCATTTCGGCAAAGTTTTCAATACTTTTTAGATTTGCTATTCGATTAATTTCTCAGTACTTTTTAGGTTTGCTATTCGATAAATTTCTTGATACTTTTTAAGTTTGCATTTCGGCAAAGTTTTCAATACTTTTTAGATTTGCTATTCGATTAATTTCTCAGTACTTTTTAGGTTTGCTATTCGATAAATTTCTTGATACTTTTTAAGTTTGCATTTCGGCAAAGTTTTCAATACTTTTTAGATTTGCTATTCGATTAATTTCTCAGTACTTTTTAGGTTTGCTATTCGATAAATTTCTTGATACTTTTTAAGTTTGCATTTCGGCAAAGTTTTCAATACTTTTTAGATTTGCTATTCGATTAATTTCTCAGTACTTTTTAGGTTTGCTATTCGATAAATTTCTTGATACTTTTTAAGTTTGCATTTCGGCAAAGTTTTCAATACTTTTTAGATTTGCTATTCGATTAATTTCTCAGTACTTTTTAGGTTTGCTATTCGATAAATTTTTTAAAAACTTTTTAGGTTTGCTATTCGATTAATTTCTCAGTACTTCTCAGGTTTGCTATTCGATAAACATAAAAACCTTTTAGGTTTTCTATTCGATAAATTTCTCAATATTTTCTAGGTTTGCTATTTGATAAATTTCTTAAAAACCCTTTAGGTTTGCCCTTCGATAAATATCTCCATACTTTTTAGCTTTGCTATTCGACAAACTCGATACTTGCGAGCAGGAGTGTACGTAAGAATGACGGGAGATATAGTTGACGTTCGATTAAGTTTGCGACGTGATTTTATAATGCATTCTGATGGAAATACGAAGCGTTGCGAAATGAGATCACAGGTTATGAAACATCCTGTACGTTCGTTATGGTATATCAGATGAGATCGTGTGTATTGAGTGAAAAATCACGGAGTGACGAGAGGTTGTTGTAAGACGACAAATGACACATCGAGCGCAAAACCGCGAACCGTGTTCTGCGATCGATAGAGCGAACGATTAATAATTCCGAGGACGTTCCGTGCGAATAACAATTCGTCTGGTCGCGGAAATCCAATTGATAGAATTGTATTTCATGTTGGTGTGAAAAATAATGGATCGCGATAATGGCACAGACAGTCTCTCTTCCGTTTTAATCTTGTTCGCAACGTTGAATCAGCTTATGGCGCGCGGCACGCCACGCGTGATTATAAATTCGTGGTTAATTGAACGTGAATAGGTACAGGTGGAAACACGACAGGAAACGACGCGACGATAATTAGAGTTTCTATCGGTGTTTGGGAAAAAGCTTGAAAAAACAACGGTTGAACCGGTTTAACTATATCGAGAGAAATTTTCGAACGGTCGGGACCGTTCGCGTTAATTTGCATCTCGAAGAACGCGGCGCGCGTTTTGTATTCCGATCTCGTTAACTCGACGCGAAAGTAGGTCACGTTGTGCTGTTCCAACGAAACGAACGTACCACGGATAAGGTGAATTAATTCGTGAGCTACGCGGGCTCTTTAAAACACTAGAATTCTCCTCCCTCCCCCCTTTCCAGTAATTTAAGGTATTGAACATCGTGGCGCTTTGATGATGCGACTTTAATGGTGATCAATGGTTTCACCTTCTTACCGAGAAGTTTACATCTTCATTTAGGAGAGTTTGAAAGCCTTCGGTTCTTGAATTTACAAGTGTTCGAACTTTCGGATATTCGAATTTTCAAAGTTATGCAGTCGCAAATATCTGAATTTTTGAATATTAAAATTTTCAAATTCTCAAATATTCAAATTCTCAAATATTGGAATTCTCAAATATTGGAATTCTCAAATATCCGAATTCTCAAATATTGGAATTCTCAAATATCCGAATTCTCAAATATCCGAATTCTCAAATATCCGAATTCTCAAGTATTCAAATTCTCAACTATTGAAATTCTGAAATATTGAAATTCTCAAATATTCAAATTCTCAAATATCCGTATTCTCAAATATTCAAATTCTCAAATATCCGAATTCTCAAATATCCGAATTCTCAAATATTCAAATTTCCAAATACCAAAATTTTCCAAGTTTAATTTCAAAATCTTCTACTCACCCGCAAGTGCAGAGTTCGCAGATGCACTGCTCCTTCAGAGGAATCTTGGACAGTATATCGGGCAGCTTTTCAGGCTGGAGATCGTCTCCTTCGAGAGAGTCCGGCGTCTGATCTCCTCTCCTAGGCTTCTCTTCGGGTTTCGTCGGTCTTTCCTCCGGTCGACTAGGTTTTCCAGCGGCTGGCCTATCCTCAGGTCTCTCTGGAACCTTCGGCTTCTCCTCGGGTCGAGCAGGCTTCCTCAGAGTCGTTTCTTCGGGTCGTGGCGCCTTGCCAGGTCCTCTTTCTTCAGGGCGACTTGGTTTCCCTGCTGCTGGCATGGGCTTCGTTGCCGGGGAAACATAGTCCCGTGGCTTTTCCGGCGTCTGTGGCCTGGCGCCAGTTGGTCTACATAGAAACAGACAATTTCCAATATTTCGTGAAATTTACTTTGATATTCTGCCATGAAAGTAAGCAGGTAATCGTTTATCTTTCTCTTGGCAATGAGAATTCCAACGACGATATTCTGTAGAATCTTAAGCTTCGTTAAAATCTCCAAGTTGACAATGGAAATTTATTCTCAATTTTCTGTATCTCCATACTTTGAGATCGTGCCTTTAAACGTGTATTAAAGTTACACTTTCAACGGGTATTAGAGAATTGAAAATCCACATTTCACACATATACAGTATTGTAATTCGTATAATTTTTAGTACACAATTACTCGTGTATTTACAGATTTCTGTTTCACGTGTATTTAAACACATATCCCTATTTTATTTCCTGTAATTTTTAATATAATACACGAATGCCGGTGTATTCCCGTACACTTACCCGAGTAAATTGCGGAAACAAAATGTGCCTGTACAAACTGCCAGGCTGCAGATAACAATAACAAATTTTGACATAATACAACGAAAATGGGGATTTATAAAAGAGATAAATACACGTGAAATGCAGATCCATAAATTCACCCGTATTAAAAATTGCGCAAATTAAAATACGTTACCTGTACCTAATATGGAACATCGCAATATCTCCGAAAATAACGAAAGGCGATCATATTCAAATTTTACCTTCACTTACAAATCTGCCAAATTTCCTAAGTATTTCGTATCATTCACCACTTTTTCAAATCGTCGCATTTTTACCATAACTCCAAATCACTCAAACTTTTACATAGTTAACTATTAACCCCTTAACACGTTCCGTGCCGGACCGATTTTCGGTGACTTTCCGTTCACGCCGCGTGGGTCGTATGCGCCCCACGTTGTCCAGACTAACAGTTTTGCTTTTCACCCTATGTGTCTTCCAATATTTATAAGACTGCAAAAATCGTTGTCATCGAGAAAAAGGTAACGTTTAAGATACGCTACAGAGCGAAGGAAAAATTGCTCTTTCAACAAATTATCGCCATAGTTACACAGAAAAGGCCGAAATATCAAATGGCCTGAACGGAAAGTCCAGAGTGGGGCGTATGCGACTCACGCGGCACGGGACGTGTCAACCCATGATTTTCTTTTCAAGCGTCAGCCAATTACTGTTTTAGCACTGTATCTGTAAGAAATGCGAGATTTCGGCGGCGAAGTGGTGGCCTGGATTTTGTCACCCAGGAAGAGAAAGCGCGCGGGTACCTGAGGGTGCCATAAACTAAGCCCTTTCCCCGGAAAGTCGAACGAGGGGGCTCCAACGGTTTTCGGAGCGAATACGACGCGGAGAGGACACTTTGGAAATAGATTTCGAGCGAGACGGACACCGAAGAACTTAGCAGTCGCTCATCGCTATACTTTAATACATTTTTGGTTAATACCCTATCATGTGTTAAATCTATAGTCGGGGCCACGATATAGCGAGGTCGTAAAATCGGTCAGACGTCAAAGTAAACATGTTTTAGCTGCCGGAACCCGAAAATTGACAGAGATACGAGCAGATAAGTACTTGAAACCATTGTCAGGACCGTACGAAGAATTCTTGTATCCAGCGAAAGTCAACTGATTCTAATATACTTACTGAAAACTGCATGCAGCTAGGACAAATTAGGGTTTCTCCCTCTGGGGGAAGCCGCTTTTGGAAGTACGGTTACAGGTAAAGGTCTTATTGATGTCTTTAGCATCTTAGTTTATCTACTCGTGTTATATACAGATAGAAAGTGCAAAAAGATTGTGTAGCTTAATATTAACATATTTTCCATTTGTAAATGAAATACCATTTTCTACTTGAAGTACCAAAGTTTATTGTTGGAACCCTCAAACAGACTGCAACACACGGCCTTGAGTGCCGCAACATCAATCGATGCCGATTCTTCAGAGTTTAATTTACGACCTCGCTATATCATGGCCCCAACTATACATTTTTAATAGTTACGATAACAATATTTCGTCCCTTTCTAATTTTCTTCCTAAGTCTCTCCTGAGTTAAACAGTTAGATATTTGACGGTCTGCCCGAGTTTCACGAGATAAACTGTCATTATAAAAAATAGTTTCGTACACTTAACAATTGCCTTAATTATCGTAAACAAAAAGAAAACAGAATATCTCGAATATCACCGAAATTCCCACCGCGATAACTAGAAACCCCCTGAAATTCTCGTAAAGCTCGCGTAACGTTACTACGAACGGTGTGCTTGAATCAGTCGTACCCAAGCTCGAGCAAGATTACCTCTCACATTTGATTGCACGAGACGCTTAACTATCTTGTTCGGTTGCCTTAAGGAGCGCTTAATTGCGGGATATTACCTCTTACGTGGTTCGTGCAATTAAGCAGCCGCGATCGCGTGCTAATTCGCGGCGAAAATTTCTCTCGGCGTTTTCTCGTGATAATTTCGGCCGCGACTCGAGCTCGTAAACTCTTTACGAGGTTCCTTCTTCCTTCCCCACCGCGTAACAGCGAAACTGCGCGGACAAATCACGCGTAAGGAACGCGCTACCGAACCAAATAAAATTTCTTCGCGTTCCTCCCATTTCCTTTTACGGCCTACGCTCTGTACCGGCTGTAAAATTCAGCGGCGCGGCGGCGCCGTGATAAGTCCGTGATGAAACGATCTTTCTCCCCTCTTTCATTGTCGTCTATTTACTCTCCCGTCTCGACTGGCGAGACCGGCCCTTCCTTCCGCGCCCACGAAACTCGAATTAATTCTAATCTGATTTCGTGAGCGATAACAGAGGATGTTTTGCGCGTTTCACGGCGAACGTTCGAGGGACTTACTCGTCCAGTTCCGCCGAGTAGAAAGCCCTCGACGTACGCCGTTTCGTTGAGAAAACAGAATCGAAGCTCGGAAGTCGGTTGTGAAGCGATTAAAACACGGACTCTCCCTTTGGTCCGATTTACGTTTCCTTTGAGAAGTGTTGAAACGGCAATATTTGAAGCATGCGTAAACCATTCCCGGTTCCCAGTTATCTGCGGAATTAGCTTTTAGCTTTTAGAGTATCGGAGACCAGATTCCATTACCTTTGGATTTTCCACGCTCACTGGTTCCTGGTTCGAACAGGAGTTTGATACACGTACGAGAGTTCGTGGTAATCTCAGGATAGTGTTCCAGTAGCTACGTGGAATTACGCAGAGTTCTCGATATACGTTAAGGTAATCCTTCCTGCATACCCACCTACGTAGAAGCTGCGAGTAGATCAAAGAGGGTATTGTAGAGAGA